AGATCTAGATCTATTAGGCTTAGAGATAGTTGGTATCTATAAATACCCCATGTACCCCATCATTATTTTAAGTTGAATGGAGTATTGAATTGGTGAGCCAATTGGGGGGAACTTTATGTTCTAACGTGTGATAAACAAGGCCGTCAGTGCGTGTTTACATACAGTGTCGGAGAGAAGGCCCTGAGAGCGTCTCGAAGTCACAGTGTCTAGGAGAAGGCCCTGAGTGCGTCTGCTAGATACACCTATCGTGGATAAACGAAGGCCCTGAGTGCGCCGTTTGTTCACAACCCAACGTATAAATAACAACACCGATCAGCGGTCCTTCATCAGTGCGCGACCACGTCCCTCGGCCGAGTCATCAAGTAAACATGAATATATCTCGAATAAAACCTCTTGAATGAACATGATATAACATAAAATAACTAAACATGCGAAGCTTGCTCGAGATATTATGCACACCAAGCATGAATACAATCACTATGCACCCGCACGGCCGAGAGGCCTAAAGTCACACCATGAACATGAATTATCCGAACCTATCATGCCTTTAACATGAATAACTTAAGGTAACGAAGTTACCTCTCGGAACTCTCGGCTGACCACACCCTATAACTCGAGACGATCAGAACTTCCGAATGAGCGCGATCACTCCGAGCGGTGCGCCTGCGGTGCTCTCGCTGATTGCGTGTGCTAAGCTTTGGGGTAATCCTCTCCTCACAACTCTCTCTCACTTTCTGAACTTAGGTAGGATGTAAGGGTAAAAAAATGGGACAAAATTAGCCCAACCTCACCTATTTATACTAAGGTGGCCGAAGAGGTGAGGAGTTTTGAGATTAAATCTCCTTAAGCCACATGGAGCTTAATAAGGCTTAGTCACCAATTTTTGGTATTAGTTACCACTAATGACCTTTATTTGATGACACCTCCTACTTACATTTCTCAAAGATAATCTTCCCATTACTTAAAATATTGAGTACGGCATTTTGAATAAAATGCGGAAATTGCTACGGCTTTTGCCATTTAATATGTGATTAATTATTAATTAACCACCTCACTATGTTTAATTACTTAATTAAACATAATGCTTAATTACCAAAATTATTCCGAACGTAAACAGAACGTCGAAAATAATTTTCGGTAATTTCGACTGAAAATAATTAATTCCGAAAATTAATACTCGACAATATTAATATATCGGAACTAAAACATAATTTTATATTAATAAATTGACGGGATATTACAGCATATACTCCACATATAATCAGAATAAGAACATTGAAAGAGTGTAAGTTAAACTGGAACATAACATTGCATATACTCCACACATATAACTGGATATATCAAACATATAACTAGAAAATACCAAACATATAACTAGAAATAAAACCAAACGTCACAAGTTCACCTCCACAATTGTCATATTAATACCTAGCACAATCATAACCACTTACCCCATTGTTCGACACAAAATAAGTTCACATCCAAATTGTCAAATACACCACACCAAATGAAAAAAAAATACAACGGTGTACAATGGTTTCTCCTATGCCAAAAATCCGAACCGAACATCATCGGGGACACTGCTTGGGGAATCATCGTCGCTATCACACTCGTTAACCTGTTTCATTCGGCCATGTTTGTATAGCTAATATCCGTACCTGTCCCTTTGAGAGTTGATATCAAACTTCTCCTTGGGAATCTCGTGACCCGAAATGAAATGTTCAGCGAACGATGCAACAAACACCCCGCAATCGCTGCCCACACCAGAATAAATTAAGAATTGTAAATTAATGATAATAATAATACTAATAATATAATAATAGTAATACTAATAATAATAATAATAATAATAATAATAATAATAATAATAAGAACAATAGAAATAAAGACATACGTAAAGCAATTAGTATAAAAAAATGGGAACCTGTTGACCTGCTGTGGTAAATTATCGACCATTACAACCTCAAGATCGCCGTTACAGGCCAATCCTTTCTTCGAAAACTTCACCAATCGAAGATAAATGGGAATAATCTCCACATACGCCTGCACTGTCTCTATGACAATTATATCGCAATCTTCTGTGCGAATTGAATTGTATATATAAAGTTTCAGATCATCTAGAGAAAGGCGTCCCAATATTCAATGACCGACTCCATTTATGTCTAAATGAATTAGGAAGAGAACGTGGTCAACATTCACCCAAGAGACCCCACATATAAGCTTATAGCCTAAGATGTAGTCAAATATCATATCATGAACACTGCACAAGGATTGATCACGAGACCTGGACAAATACAACGTGTACAACGATTTGATGTGTTGGTCGAATTAGAGTCCAAACTTCCTCAAGTAATAAAATATAACATCCAAGTGCTGCAAATGAGAATCAAAAAATGTCACGGATTTATTTGTTAGAACTACGTAAAAGATATATTCAAATAAAAATATACTTATAATTATGCCCTGTATTAATTATCATTCAAATAAAGTGTTATAAAAAAATAATTATCATTCAACTAAGAATTTTAGGTTCAAGTTCTGATAAATATACTTGAAATATATTCAACATATAATAACATATCCAATATGTAAATTGAATTATACTATGTAGTGAAAATTGAACAACCACAAAAACTCAACATATACTTGAATTATACTAACTATATACTTGAATTATGTACCAGTAATCTTAAATAAATAAAAATAACTGTAGAAGCAAATGCTACTTACGCTGCTGTCGAGGAAGCAGTTTATCTCTTGGATGTTGTAAAACCAGTTCTTGTCCGTTACCACAACAACATTGAAGTCAAACGGTATGGGCAATGTCTTGCTATATTTTCTATAGTAATTGAGCCTGACAATGAATTGAGTATGTATTAGTATATGTATGGTATATGTAAATATTATTTTTTGTGTACATAAAGTATATGTAAAGTATATTTATGAGAACTTGACGCCCGCTGTTTCACGACCCGTTGTCGACTTTACGAGGAGCAGTCCGGAGCAGCCCCTCTGCAGTCCAATCCTTGTAGTTCTTCATGTCCACTTTTCCAGACACAACTATGTCAAAAGCGACATCAAATGGGCATGATCTAAAAAGTCGTACTTTCTTCTTCGGACCTGTTTCCTTCTTTGATTTTTTCTTAGGATTCGATGTTGGTTTCACGGCTTCTATCTTTGGAACATGCACAACCACAACATCGCAATCTTTCTCCTTTGCTACATTCTCCTCGACCGGAGCAGGCTGATGATAGTGACATATAAAGACATTAAATTTTTATTACACTACATGTCAAATTGAGGATGTTAAAAAATAATAACGATTGAAGTAATTAAAATTACATTATTGTGCGTCGATTGAATAGCTTTATTGGATGGTGGTGTCGGTGGTAGAACGACCATTACAACATCAAATGATGGTTGCGATCCATTCAGTGCGTACCCATAGATAGGGTGTGGCTCATCGTCGAAACTTCTCTACATACCAGGACAAAAAAAAATTAAAAAGATTTAATATAAATGCCACATGTTTAATAATATGTGTTTATGTAAATCTCATATTTTTACGGTTCTTTCCCCTTGGATGATTCATTCAACTTTTCTTGCAAAGTCCGATCAATTTCCTCTAAGAATTGGGTGTTAATCATGGAAAATGTGTCATCATCGTCATCACCACTTGCTACATGTAAATCAGGCTGGGGTAAATTTTGAACTGGTACAAGGCTATTGGGCTCTGGAAAAAGTTGTACTGGAACAAACTAACCAAAAGAAAAAAAGTAAAAATGACATATGAAGCAGTCTGTTATGACATGAAATTGACATGTAATAATAAAAATGAAATGTGGGACATTTAATGACATATGAATAAACAAATGGGTATATTTTGTAACATGATTATATGTGGAGTAATGACGTGTAAATGACATATGAGAGAAAGTAACTTTCCTCTCTATCAGATTAACTTACACTATTTTTTATGTTTTATTCTGATTATATGTAGAGTATATGCAATGTTATGTTACATTTTAACTTACCTTATCTGTTGCGCTTTTCATAAGTGCCTCAGCTTTGGTTCTGTAGGCTCTTAATGGAGACTTCACTGTCGTATTCTCGACATTAACATCAGAAGCCTTTTGAAGAGGCTACAGGCAAAAAAATAAATAAATAAATAAATAAATAAGGAAAACATGAACACAATGGCATATTTCCTAATTGATAGAGTTGCTTACCTTGTCTGCTGCTCGCTTCATAAGTGCTTCGGATTTTGTTCTGAATGCTCTTACTGGAGACTTCACACTCGTAGTCTCATCATTAACATCAGAAGCATTCTGAAGAGGCTACAGACATAACCAAAAAATAAAAAAAAACATGAACACAATGGCATAATACCTAATATGATAGAGTTGTTTAATAAGATATGATGTAGACAATAAATATTAATATCGACCAAACAAACCGTCTCTTTTTCAGCTGAACTGTGACCGGGCAATTCATTCCGCACTTCATTCCCATCACGGACATCGCTCGTGTTTCCTCTGTCTGTGTGATGGTCTTTACTTGAACCACCCTATTGTATAATGATAACGTGATGAGATGAAGATTGATTACGTAAAATGAACAAACAGTACACAAATTGCACATGAAGTAAAAAAAAACAGAAATTTAAGACAAAAAAATATCTTTGATATGTACTTGACTGCTGCATATAATGTGGTTTGTATGTTACATGCTTGAATTTAACTCTGCATATAACAGACTGCTACATATGTTTTAACTTCGAAAATGATAAAATGTAACATAACATTGTTATATGTAACATATCCTTGCATATAACATTACATATAACAGATTGCTACATATTCTGATTATATGTTTTTATTCTGGTATATGCAATGATATGGAACATAACATTACCTATAACAGACTGCTGCATACTTGAACTTAACACACTATATTTTAAAAACAGATTTGAGACAAGAAAATGTACTTCACTGCTGCATATACCGAAAAATATACTAAAAATATACCGAAGAATATAGTATATATGCAGCATACATATACTACACATATAATGTGGTTTGTTTGTTGAATAAATGTTTAGTAAATAAAACAAACATATACTAAACATATAATGTGATATAATGTGGTTTGTTTGTTAAATAAATGTTTAGTAAATAAAACAAACATATACTAAACATATAATGTGGTTTTGTCTGCTGCATAAATGTTTAGGAAAAAACAACAAACATATAAAAAAATATATATGGATCAGACATATAATAATCATACACTATGGCTTATCTGAGCAGATATACAGAACTATACTAAAACATTAAATCAATAAACATGACCAAATACTTACAAGTAATTTCTCCTTGAAAAATTCAAACCCAGCAAAAACACGTCTCGAGAATTCGAGGAAGGATTGCTTCAAACTCTCAAGTTCAGCAGTAATTGTGTCTAGCCGGGTTATAACATCAACACCATTGGTGTGTCGTGGAGTGTCAGTTGATGGAATCTCGTTTTGAGTGAACTCATTTTTGTTTTTGAAGAATGAGTTCAACAAAAGAATATGTCTCTCGGCCTCGGTGGGGATTATGTTCTTGAACTGTGCAAACAAATAAAAATAATAATTATGAAGACACAAATAAATATATAAGAGAGGTGGGTGCTATGTTGTTCAACTGTGAAAACAATTAACTAAAAAAGTTATGTAAGACAGAGATATAAATATATAAAGAAAACATAAATATATACCTTAGAATAATGAAGGTTGGAAAAGGTCCTCTCCATGAAAATACGAGTATAGATATCTCGAACATCCCATTTAAGTATCCTGGGGATATCGTGTACACTAACATTTGTGGAGAGCACACCCTGGGCAGGTTCGCAAACCTCATAGAACCAGGTATGAAGCGCCAGAATAAGACCATAGCAACGATAGAGGTAGCCAGCCCCCTCAGGCTTCTCAAAGATATGCATCTGCTCTCTCGTGTGAATCGACTTCTTTAGGTAATGAAGGGTAAACTCAAATATATCGGTACCCCATGAATAATCATCGCATTCCGCACTATCGATCATGTCAACATAACAGCATTCGATGCGAAGAGCGTCTTGAGATCCCATGAAGAAATTTGCTAACAAGTGTAACTTAGCTAATTTGACGGCGTCTTCATCACTCGCCCATGACTTTTTTTGAAACTGCCATCTGATATGGTTCCGGGTTAAGTCAACCCCCTTGAAATACTTGTCGTGGAGGCCATCAGAAATCTTGGGAATGTTCAGCTTCTTGCTTTGTCCAGTGCATTTCAAACCAGTGACAACAGCAAACTCCTCGATGCCAAAACGGAGAAATTTTCCTCTGAAATTGAACCAAAGCTCATCTGTTCTGCTTTGATGAACCTCGCACAACAGTATATAGTTTATTAGCTGGTTTTGTATAATGCATTGAGGGAGGTCCAAAAACTTCCCAAACGCTGACCTCCTAAAAATCTCCAACTGCTCCTTGGTTAGCGTTTTCTTGATTTCATTTAATGTTGAACGATCCTTGCTATTGTCATTACTGTTTTGGACTTTCACGTTTATATTCCTTGGGTGCGGGATTAGCAATTCCCATTCCTGAAAAGCATTAACAAAAAAAAAAATTATATTAATATACAGTAGGAATGTACATTACTACCTGAACGTTGATAAAACCCGGGACAAATTGTTTACATATTCATATTGGTGCATATACTAGAAACTCATATAGTTAACATATACTTACTGAATAAAACTAATCACATATACTCCACATATACTTCACATACTTCACATATAATTCCTGATGTATACTGCACATATACTTCCTGGAAAAACTCATCACATATACTTCGCATATACTTCTCGATGATACTGCACATATACTTCATGAAAAAACTCATCACATATACTTCGCATATACTTCTGATGTATACTGCACGTTTACTTCCTAAAGTTCACTCATAGTTGTTAGGTGAAAAAGCATGCAAAGCAACACAAAGTATTACAATGCAAACAACGTGGTTAAAATGAAAATGGGACACGTTCTTAACAAACAGTAGCATATTAATAGAACACTTGTTAATTTCTTGTAGGGAAAAACCAGCACAAAATCAAAACTGATAGAGAACAGTACTTTAGAGAATATAAGGCACCAACACACATAACAAATTTGACAAAATAAAATAACCAGATACAGGAAGCGTGTACAAAACATCAGACATTTTAAATTGTATAGTTGGGAAATAAAAAAATCTCTGCTTGACTGCAAACACAAATTGCAGTATGATATATACCAATAAATAAAAATTTATACTTTTAAAATGATAACTATACATATATATGCATTATACTAAGTATATAGTAAATGATATTGAATCAGTGACAGTATGTTCATACTGTTAAAATAAAGGCAAAATTGCGGCTAATACCTTTATCGAGATTGCAAATTAATCACAACCTTTTAACTTTTGCATAATATATCACGACCTTCAATTCTTTGCAAAATGATACATGCGCTGCCCCAACTCGTCTGACGTGGCACTCAAAATGCCAACGCACCTGCTGATGTGTATTTAACAGACGATTTTTTTGCATAATTAATCACAACTTTTTTACTTTTACATAATATATCACGCCCTTAAATTTTTTTGCAAAACGATACATGGTTTGTAATTTGATTTTTGCACTCCATAACGAACACGATTTGGTTTGTAATCGATTTTATTCTCGACTTGGATTAATAATAATTTCCTTTCATTTGATTACGGAAGTGATTTATTATGTTGAATCTTTTGTTGGGATTGAAATCAATATATGTGGCTAAATCGCTTCGTTAGGGATAGAGGATATTTGTTTTGGTTCGATTGAGATTGGTGTGTACGTGTTTGTCGTTCAATCTATTCGAGTTGTGTTGCATCTAGGGTTAGATGTTTGATCATCATTTTAATCTAGTTAATCAATTTGTAGAACCGGGAGGGGAGAAATTGATTGATCTCGGCTCGTTTAGAATAGGCTTGTTCGTTAATAGATTGTCTATATGTTAATTTTTTGATAATTGATCGTTACGAAGAGTTACTGAGAACGAGCCTCTAAACGAGTATGTTATTTGATCTCTTAACCGAGCGGTTCTGTGCTAATTGAATGCTTGAGAACCATAAACGAATATCTCCGACTCCTTAACTCACCAATCATTATTTGATACTCCATTTGGAATTTGAAGTGTGTCTTGCTTTATTTTTAGAATTTGTAGTTGATAATCAAAACAAAAAACAATTGAATTAGAGTATTTCGGATTTGCTTTCTCTTTTCGTGTGATTGAATACACGTGCAAAGTAATTCGACTAACCTTCCTTGAGAGACGACCCGGTGTTTGAATCTTTTCGTGTTCCAAAATCTCCAGCTCTAGCCTAATATATCCCCAAGGGTTCCAAAATTTCCCCCTCATCTCGTCCATGGATGAGATGGAAAAAAAAAATCATCTTTTAAATACACGTCATACTAGTTGGGGCAGCAGATGAAAACATGTATCGTTTTGCAAAAAGATTTAAGGGCGTGATATATTATGCAAAAGTTAAAAGGTTGTGATTAATTATGCAAAAAAATCGTCTGTTAAATACACATCAGCAGGTGCGTTGGCATTTTGAGTGCCACGTCAGACGAGTTGGGGCAGCGCATGTATCGTTTTGCAAAAAATTGAAGGTCGTGATATATTATGCAAAAGTTAAAAGGTTGTGATTAATTTGCAATCTCGATAAAAGTCATGATATTAACCGCAATTTTGCCTAAAATAAAATGACAAAATCAAAATTCAATCAAAAAACAAAACCACGTCAGATAACATAACAACTAATGCCCAAAAAATCGAAACAAAAGTTGAATGGGCCATTAACAGTTGATCATAGACATATGAAACAAGCTTTAAAACATCAAACATCTAATAAGGCATGTACACAGACAATCAAAAGTTACATCATTTGAGTGTGGACCACTGAGACCACAAAAAATCTTATAACAAGTTGAACATAGAGAACAAAAAATACTTCAATTAGTCATATAAATTACATTATATGTTATTCTGTTCTGCAAATCTCGAGGGGGCTTGGTGACATCATTGTTGTCCCTTCTTTTCTTCTTCAGTCTGTTGGCTTCGTCCCTTTCTTTTCTGGTCATTTTCTTTCTCTTTTTTCGCTCGCATTTCAACCGGAGAGTCTTCATCTTCCAAATCTTCTTCGCTGCCGGAATCTTCGGGTTGGCTTTCACACTCGAACTCAGATTATTCTTCGCTCAGAACTCAGGTTTTCTTCTCCAGTTTACGAGTTCGCCTAGGCTTTTCTGGTTTCTTTGTGTCTGACTGGAAGTCGTCTGAACTGGGAGACGAAATAGGTTTCTTCATTCTCGCCTTGCCGGATCATTTGCGACTAGGATTAGGGTTCAAATTTTTCTCAAAAAATAATTTTTTTTTACACGAGTTTTGGTTGATTTGCTGGACGAATTTTACGGAGACGGGCACTTGATCTTAAAACTGGTGAATCGTCGCCACCATCTGCCGGATTTTTTCGACGAGGATGAGTGATTTTGGTTTTCGCCATTGAGAACTGAAATCGCCTGAAATTGTGCAACGGTTTTGCAGAATGAAGGGATAAGTGGGGCGGTGGGGTGGTTTGGAGAAACTTACTTTTTATTTTCTTATTTTATTGGTAAGTGGATATTTAATTTGACATAATTATCTCAATAACAGTTATTAGGTATAATTGAAAATCTTTTAGGTTGTTTAGGTGATTTTAAAAATAAATATATAATAGGTACAAAAGTGTTATATATTTTAAGTTTATAAGTATGGCATGCAATTTCCTCTATAATCAAACTTAAATGGGTTGCCCAGTTCACCAAACGTAGAACCAAAATAGGATCAACTGTTATTCGAGAAACGGTAAATGGACCACAATATGATCCAAATTGATCCTTTTTCTTTGCAATCTTAAAAAGAAGTGATTTATCATTCAGTTGATCAACTTCTTCTGGCAGCTCTAGACCATCATCTTGCTGAAAAATTAAAAAAATTTATATCAAATTGTTAATTAGTTTACATAAAGTTGATAAAGTTCTCATAAAATATACAAAAATTGTCAATACCTTCAACATATTGTTCACAACTTCATCGCAAGTTTTCCCAATCAATTCTCAAGCTATGTTATCCCAACACAGAAGTCCAATAATTCCGGTGTTGTCCGCAACAGAGATATGCAACTTGTACCTTCATATAAAAGTAACAATATATGAATATAAAAAATTTAAAATATGTTCACTTAATTATTTAAGAAAAAAATAATAACACACTTTCAGATTGAAGGAAATACCTAAGTATTGAAAAGGGAACATCATGCTTGCAGTAGTTGCACCAAAATTGTGCACCTTTGTGTTCGACTTTTCGAACACATGTTGGGCATGATTTATTATGGTCCCGTGAATCCAAAACAACTTTTGCTGAAATATGTAAAATAAATACATATAAAATTTAGTGAATAACTATATTTTAATAATATAATATAATGGTGATAAATAAATAAGAAGTACCTCTTTGGAAGCAATAAAGTCCGCCACATTTGTTATGGGAGCACTTCCGGATTCCAAGTCCTCACACACGTTGGACAAAAAGGATTTCACAATTTGGCTCGAAGAATTCTTTCATCGTATGTGGGAGTTATACCTATCAAGTTAACAAAAATAATGAGTTGATTATTAAAAATAAATTGAATGTTTTAAATAAAATTATATAATACATTTAAATTCATAAAATAGATGACCTTTGTTTTAAGTCCAAGATTTCCGGAATATCGCTTGAAGCGATCATTTTTGTCGTGTCATACGTATTCGCAACTACTATGGATCCTAAAAGAAAGTAGGATGAACGAATTAAATAAAATGAAAAATAAGAATAATAATTGTAAAATATTTTATTAAGTAGGTTTCATTACCATCATCTGAGGTTGTTGCATGGCAAAATTGCAAGATAACTACCCTCAAATCGTTGGGAGAACTGTGCCGTGGGCTTCAAGAAGATTGTCTACATAGCCTTCCCAAAATGTGCAGGTCAAGTGGGATCCACTATAAAGATTAGAGAAAGAGTTTAAATAACAAAAAAATGAAATTGGTTGAATAAAAATAATTAAAATAATAACATATTTAGGTGAACTTACTCAACATCCTCTAAAACAACTTCAATAAATTTTTCTCGATGCCGTTTGACCTTGTTGTTCTTACGCTTTGGAATAGTGCTACACTGCCAATAATATCTGTAAAAGAATAGAAAAATAAATTAATATAGCAAAATATATAGATTATGAAAAAATATGTTATAAGTTATGAATTTTTACCAAACATCTTGGTGGAATCAATGGTTTGTGGGTCGGTTAGGTCGCTGAATTTTTTGAAATTGAACATATACCATGGGTAATGTTCATCATTAATCTCAAAAATATCCGTATCTTCATTAAAAATGAATTTGTGGCTCGATTCAGTGGGTTTGAACTTATTTTTCATCCTTATCCACTTTAAAGGTCTTGATGCCATAAACACGACCTTCAAGAAGTTTAAAATCATTGAACTTTCCAGTCAAGCAACCCGGAGCACTACCATGAATCCGTTACCCCTAAAAAAATACAAAAATACAGATATATTAGTATAAAATGAATCAGTTATGAAATTAATAATACAACAATCAATGTGAAAATTAGTTTAACCTTCACGTCATAAAAAACAAAGTCCATCCCTCTGAATTTTTGGTTGTTCTCCCTAGCTGGTCTGCCATAATATCTAACCAATCTCAGTTTGACAGTTTTGTTCTTGTTTTTTGACAAATATGTGAGGTTGTCGAATTGGAAGGCCATTTTTGAAAGTTGATCAAAAAATCTGATAGAGAGAAATTTTAAGTGAATGATTTGAGCTTGTGATTTATTTGTTGATTGTGGTCTATTTATACTTATGTACAAAGAATACATTAATTCTATTATTCTATATAATAAATGTTCAATTATAATTATTGTAGGAATGATTTTAGGAATTGCATTGATTTGGATTGGAAGAATTATTATTTTGTTGTCTTGTAAATTTCTTTTAAAGTCTGGAATAGCTGAATTGTGTTTATTGAAAATTAATCAAAATGAAATTGGGGTTTCCCGCCAGTGTATTTACAAAGCGGGAGAACACTTGAAAAAAAAATATAGAATTTTAAGGGAAGTCAATTGTCACTCTGAAAAAAAAAAGGAAAGTCAAAGATATTTAATATTTTGCACTATTAGTTAGTTGATTTTTTTTTTTATTTTTTGCTGATTTATTTATACAATGTAAAGGGGCTTTTTTTTTGCTAATTTTTGACCTTTTATTATGACAATTTTTAATATAGTGTTATTATATGCTAATTTTGGTATACTATATATTTATTTATAACATGAAAATTTATTAATTTTATTGTAATTGTAATGTTTAATTTTATCATGACCACTAATATTTGTTATATTTTGCAGGAAATCATTGGATGGAGTATAGCTGGAATTACATATTATATTGATTATTTTAGCATTTATTGGCTAATGTACTGAACTTTAATCTTAATGTTATGTTATTTGTTTGTTTTGTTTATTTTAAATTTTATATTTTTTTTAAGTCAAGCTACAAAATATAAAATTAAAAATTGAGAAATGAAGTCAGTTTTACAATGTCATTAATTTTCTATATTAATATACCTGTCAGGAAAAGGAAAGAAAAAAAGAAAAAAGAAAATGTTATAATACACGTATCAATAAGGGAAAAAAAGTAACGAAAAAGAAGAAAAAGATGTAAAGGACATTAACTGAAAACAACTTG